TCTTTGAGGCTGACTCTATCAGCATTTTCAATACACACTGGAGGAAACTGAGGACCAGGAAGTTTCCATCAGTTCCTGCAACTCCATGCCCTTGATTTTTGAGCTTCTGCTGAGACCCACAACACTGACACAGGGAAGGAGCAAAGAGATGCACGTGCTGAGAGAAGGACCATGGTTTGCTAAACTCAGTGACGTTTTAGTCATATTGCTGAAAGATGTACCCCAAACTCAGAGAAAATCAGAAGCTGAAGGGCTTGTGTTTTTGTCAGAAGAGGGAAATGGTTTACATGTTGAACTAGAAGGGGCTGGAGAGGCGCCTCAGTGGTTAAGAGCACTTGGTCTTGCAGAGAACCTAGGTTCCAGGGATTTCATGCCTTCATCAGACTTTTGTGGGTGCCAGGCAGGCACATGGTATACATACATATGCTCCATGAAAATACTCATACACATAAAATAAAACAATCTCAAAAAAGGAATATATGAAAGGAAGTGGGGCTGCCTGTGGCAGGTTGAACATAAAGGATGGGGGTACACAGGTGGCAGACTGGGAAGAGCTGTGAACAGGCCTCCTGGGACACTTCAGGACCTGCTCAGGTGGAGCAGGGTGCTGAGACACCTCTAGGCTCCATACAGCTAGGGGACCTTCTTCCTAGTGAGCTGGGATATGTTTGTCTGGGATTCACTCATCTCTGACCAGGGATGATGCTAGCAAAAGGCTTCCAGGAACACTTCTCACTCCCCCGTGGCCTCTGTAGTCTAAACCATAATAGCATCTTTGTCTCTATATGGCCTCTTTTGGTTCTGTCAACTGAACCCTCTCCCTGAAATGTAGTTACCCACTGATAAACCCTTCAATCCAGGCAGCAAAGAAACGCATACCAGCATGAAAAACCAGCTCCCACAGCAGCATTCTGGAACGGTGTACAACTGCACATTCCAAGAGCATTCAGAGCCAATCTATCAAACTTAGGTCTGCCTGGGATATGGCCCTGTGGCTGCCTGCTTGGCTCAGAGAACTAGAGACTCGGATACCATCTAGATGGCAAGCAGTGCAATTTGGCTCCACCTTGGAAAGGCTGTAACAAAGCTGTGCCTCCAGATCTAACAAGCACAGCTTGGAACTGAGTGGTGGTAGATCCCTGAACGGCCACTAGATAGGGTTGTAGGTGGCACCTCAGCCATTCGGCCGCTGGATAACAAGAGAGCCAGGAGATGCTCCTTCCCAATTTGGCAGTTGACTTTCCTGGGAGCTGGGCAGGAGGAAGTCTTCAGTTATGGAGTTGCATAGATCTGCTGGTTGGGCAAAGCTGTCCAGGGTTCTGCTCTGAGGCCCTGACTCTAGTTTGGGTACCACTGACTCATCTAATTGTTCCAGGCCAGGTGGGGTGCCTTAACTCACTGTCTTCCCTTTCCTGACTCTAGTTTGGGTACCACTGACTCATCTAATTGTTCCAGGCCAGGTGGAGTGCCTTAACTCACTGTCTTCCCTTTCCTACCACAAGTCTCTTGATTCCCCCACCTAACTGAATTAACCCAGACTCCTGAGCTGGCCCTTGCCAGCTCCAGAAGCCTGTTTCTCACTGAGGGGCTGGCTCCCCATACTGTCCTGGTTGAATGTTCCACATGCCTGCTCAGTTCCCTAAAGCCAGCCTGTTCTGTGGCAATACCTGGACTCCATGCTCTGAAGATGGGCTGCTAGGACAACACAACTAGGAATGTTTCACTCTCATCTTCTACCCAAGCAAACTAAAAGGTAACACTGTTCTGCAGGGCTCACAGGAGGAACTGGAAGATTTGACTGATTCAGTCATCTGGCCAAGTTCACACCGAAAGTAGGTGAGAAAGCACAGCACAAGATCTCCCCCACACAGCCTAAGTCTCTAGATAGGATACCCTTCCAGCAGGCACTTACCAACAGGCCATTGGAGCCATGCACAGTGACGCAGCGAGAGAATGTATGGTGGATGGAGAGGTCCCTGATGTACGTAGGAGGGTCATAGCCTCCCTTTTCATCCAAGTCTCCAGCAAGGTGAAAGTGAATTGGGTACTGGCCCACCAGCTGCTGCCCCATGTACTTTAGCTCCACGCCCTCCAAGTGGGCTGCTTTAAACCCCAGAGCAAACTGCAACAGGAGAGTGAAAGTTAAAAGAGCCCCAAAGCACCCCCCCAATAGCCCTATCTGATGTCTGCATCCCTAGAGGACAGGGGTATTTCCTTCCCTGTGCTTTGTCATGGAGTACCTCCTGGCGACTCAAAAAACCAAGAGGCTCTTCACAAGGATGAGGATGCCCGACCCTTCTTACACTAGGGGAGTCCAGCAAGGCTTTGCAAGATGCTGCAGGATAATGGACTCTTTGGAAGTGCCCAGGACAATAGCTAGACTTGCTTTGATTTTTTTTTTTTACCATCTCCTTTACCATAGCCACCAATGAGGAAGGGATAGTCCTAAAATGATTAGGGTGTGTATGTGTGTGTAGTGTGTGTGTGTGTGGGTGTGTGTGAGAGAGAGAGAGAGAGAGAGAGAGAGAGAGAGAGAGAGAGAGAGAGAGAGAGAGAGCATGCCTAGGTGCTGGAGAATGGAGGACTTCAGGGTATTATTGTTTAGTCTGTGAAAACTTTTCCTGGGATGGAAGGGAGAGAGAGAGAGAGAGAGAGAGAGAGAGAGCATGCCTAGGTGCTGGAGAGTAGAGGACTTCAGGGTATTATTGTTTAGTCTGTGAAAACTTCTCCTGGGATGGAAGAGGTACTGTCTCTGGAGATATCACAAGCCTCTGCTCTGAGGACATGCATATGAGTGGCAGCTGCTGCTGGATGTGCTCAGGGAACTGGCCAGATGATGAATGCAATCCAGGAGCTCAGCAGAAAGCACAGTCTGGAATGACATGAGTCAGAAGCAGGCTTTGCCAGCTTCTACCAGAGGGGCTGGAGTTTGTATTTCTTCGAGATTTGGGTATCAACTGAAACACTAGCATCCAATGCCTGGAGAGCTGTGTTGAGAATGAATCTCAGCCTAGTTTGGGCTTCATGGGCTAGAGGGACATGGGGACTCAGGGCTAATCTCCAGATTGGGAGGGGCTGCAGCAGCTTGTGTGACAGAAAACTACTGTTTTCTCTGGATCTCACTATGTTCTCAGGTGCATAGTGACAATAGCCAGAAAGTATCCATGGACTAGGGACTCCAATCTAGAATTCCTAAAGACATAGATCTGTACCACAAGACTCTCCCCACTTAAATGGTTAGCGGAGCTCTGCTTGTGAACTCTGTTTCCTATCAACCTCTTTGTTTGCATTATTAAAAAGAATTACTCAATGGGCAGTGTTGGCACACACCTTTAATTCCAGCACTCAGGAGGCAAAGGCAGGTGGATCTGAAAAAAATTACACTCATAGCACATAATTTTAGCCTCAAGAGAACTCTTTTTACAAAATCTATTTTGATACTGTTAGCATTGACACCAATAATCATATGAAGAACATAGACGAACTTGGAGGACATCTAGGTTTCTTGGAGTATTTACCAGAGTTAATAAAGGCATTTTGTACAGAGATAAATGAAATTCCTCTTTGAGCTGGCTGCTAGGAGAATGTGAGCTCCAATGAACTAGGTGGCTTTGAAAGACCTGCTGTGTGTGGCTGTCTTTCTAGGGCAGTAGTTCTCAACCTTCCTAATACTGTGACTCTTTAATTCAGTTCCTCATGTTGTGGTGACCCCCAACCATAAAATTATTTTCATTGCTGGTTCATAACTATAAGTTTTCTACTATTATGAATAATAATATAAATATGATGTGCAGGATATCTGATATCCCAAAGGGGTCACAACCCATAGGTTGAGAATCACTGTTGTAGACTCTACCAGGATCAGGTAAGTTCAATGTTGCACCCCTCTATTTCCTGCTACACCCCCTATTCCCTGCTGGCTGATTGGTCTGTATTATAATGAATATAATTTTGTTTTTTGTTTGTGTGTGTGGGACAGCAGGAGCACTAATTCTTTGAAGAAATTTTCAGGAAGGTGGGCATAGTGGTACACATTTGCCATCTCAGTATTTGGAGAAACCAAAGCAGGAGAATCTTAAACTTCAGGCCAGCCAGGGATGCATAGTGACAGATTGCCTTAAAAACAAAACAAAACAAAAACAAAGCAATATAAAAACACTAACAAAATCATTAAAAAAAATGATCAAGGATAAATAATGAAAACAGGGCAGAGGAAATGGAGTGCAGTGCTGCATATGGCCTCAATCAGAGACCTGGTCCCCGCCTGGCTCCATCATCTCCGACAGGTACAACTGCCTATCATTGGTAGGTAGACATCGCCTAAGGGTGCGCTTCTATTCCTACCCCCGCTCCACCATCCCTTTTCCTCCTGATCCTCTGTCCACAGCTAGAATCTTGAGTACCCTCCCATAGGGCTAAGAACCTCAGCCAGGCAGATTCCTACCTTGATGTGACCCCCAAAGGTATCAAAGTCAAAGAAGTCACAGATGTGGCTGGTGTAGGGGTAGCATTGGTCCTCCATCTCTCCCATCACCACGATGTTCCGAGTCAGGAGCCCAACCTCAGCCCGCATGTCAACACCATCAATCTCCTCCCCAATATGTAGGTACTGTGGCTTCCCTAGGGCACAAGAGGGGTGAGGAAGCAGAATGGCAGGTGGAGCATGCCCACTATGTTCCCATCCTGTATTCCCACAGCTGTAGCTTGCTCTTCACTGGGCCCTCACGCATGGCAAGCCCCATGGGCCTTGTTCTCATGATACAGAACAGAGCTCAGTTAGGTATAGTCACATGCCTAGGTGTGGAGCTACAGTTCATAGCTACTCATGCTTAGGTCTTAAGACCACCACAGATGTGGCTACTTGTCCGATGACATTTACTCTTCTGGTTTTCAGAGCTAGACTCTCCCATGATTCCTTTGACAGAGGGCTTCCCAGTGGAGCTGTGCCTCCCCACCTCCCTGCAGTAAGGGGTGGCCATAGGGTCTAGGTAGAAGTGCCAGGTGTAACCTTGAGTTGCCTCTCTTGCTCTCCAGCCTGGTGGGCCAGCCTCATCCACATGAGGAACCACCTCAACCAGAGGAAATCCATGGCTTAGAGATGGCAAAGGAGAGAGACAGAGAGAGAGAGAGAGACAGAGACAGAGACAGAGACAGACAGAGATGGAGAGAGTCTCTCAGAGCTTCTATTGTAGCTGCCCTCCAGCTGCAATTCTTAGGATAAAACAAAGTTTCTCCCTTTCTGGCCTCCACTTCAGAGCAGGGCAAACCCGTGCTCTACTCTCAGCAGCCTTGTGAAAGACACATCCACAGTTTGGTAACTGAGAAAGAGTAGGCTGGTGTTCCTGTGTCCAGAGCCGTGGGGCTTTTACACAGGCCCTTGTGGTACCACATAGAGCAGTGGGAGGAACTTGCACCCTGCTTTGTACTGACTTCATGCTGCAGAGAAGGCTGTCTCCCAGCCCATGGATCCTAGCCCTGTCCCATGGCACATTCAAAAGGCCTGTGCTGACTTCATCCTACAGAGGAGGCTCTCTTGCAGCCCATGGATCCTAGCCCTGTCCTGTGGTGCATTCAGAAGGCATTGACTCCAGCTGGCAGTCCTTCCCAGTCCAGCTATCTCATTCCTCATCTGTGTTTGGTTTCTGATGCTCTCTACCCTCAAGCTTCCCCAGGCCCTGCTATCCTTGAGAAAAATCTAACAAACCAAACACCCTCCCACACTCCCTCCAGTCTCTGTCCTGTGTGGTCTGAATCCTTGACCCTATGTTCGGTCCGTTCTCTCTCTCCTGCTACCTCCTTTCTAGCCAAATTCTCTTATTGTTACCCTCCCATCTCCTCTCCCTCCATCTGTGCAGAAAACACAGCTTAAGACAGGCTCGCTACTAAGATGGCTGGTGAATTGTGGATATTTTCTGTTTCACTTGAGGATGCAATTACAAAGAACACTACTCTTCCATGTGGACTTTCAGCCCAAACCACACCACCTACACCACTTGGCTTTCACTCTGACCTTGAATTGATCAAGGAGGCCCTTGCCTTGGCCCTGAGATACCATGAGTGCTCATGTGTGAAGGCCATGGTTAAAATTAGCAATGCCCACCACAGTGGCTTTCCTCTGCTTTCTCATCCACAGGAAGAGCTGACCCTTGCCCTCCCCTTCACCTGGCACACATCTTGGGGGCTGGTAGAATTGCTGAGGAAGCCTATGGTTTTAGAATTCTGCAGACTTAGTGAGATAGTGGTTTTTATTATTATTTTTTGAAGCAGTATGACAAATAGTGCATGCTGAAGCTGAGAAAACAGCTCCAGGCAAGTGGATAGCATGTGTTTTCTATTGCATCTGTGACAAATTGCCACAGGTTTATTTTTTATGGTCCTGGAGGTTAGATGTCGGAAATTAATTTCCTGGGGCCAGTTAAGGTGTTGGCAAGGCTACTTGCTTAAGAAGGTGCCACCTAGAAACTGTTTCCAGGCTTTTTCAGAGTTTCAGAGTTTCAGAGTTCAATCTTCCATCTTCGATTGCTCCGTCTGCTCCTGTCATTCTACTGCTTTCTCCTCTCTCATCTTCCTTAGCCCTCTTATCTGATAACCTTTGTAATTATATTGAACCCACCCACATAACCCAGGACACTCTTCCATTTACAGAACTTTAATACAGTCAAAATTGTTAAGTCCTTGTTGCCATGTGAGATAATATTCATAGGAACTAAGGATCACAGCATAGATGAAGCCTACCACAGAGTCCTTAAGAGTCTCAGGAATAGTGTCAGCCAGCTTTCTGATACTGTAACTAACACCTGGGATGAATCAATTTAGAAAGAAGAAAAGTTTATCTCAGTTCACGGTTTCATATGTTTCGAGTGGGCTATGTGGGCTGTGTTGCTTGTGTCTGTCATGACACAGCTTCTCATGGTGCTTGCATAAGGCAGAGGAAGTCCATTTACTTTGTGGCTGGTAATGAAACAGAGAAAGGAGGAGACCAGTATCCCACAGCCTTCTTCTAGAACATCTCATGGTGCTTGCATAAGGCAGAGGAAGTCCATTTACTTTGTGGCTGGAATGAAACAGAGAAAGGAGGAGACCAGTATCCCACAGTCTTCTTCTAGAACATTATCCCTAGTGAACTGAAGCCTTCCATTAGGCTTTACCACTTTCTAACAGTTCCACACAGTCTGACATCACTAGAGGAAATAATTGGAAACAAGTTAAGGACAGAATTCTGGGCCCCTTCCTCCCTGAACCCACTATGGCTTTTGATTTGGGTCACAGGCCATGTGTCTTTACTGCTTTAAGGCCCTCTGGACATTATGCTTCTATCCCTGGTTGATCCCCCTGCCTATTGGTTTTGTGGCCTTCCCAAGCAAGCTAGTCACAGGGGCTTCCCAGGTGTAAAGGACAATGTCTGTCTCTGAAAGTGGTGGACACGGCTTCTGAGGGACACTGGCTTCAGAAAGCCAGACAGAAGAAACATGAAGCCCGCCTGGTGGCTGAAAAGGAAAGAGACTCACATTCAGAAAGACACGTTCCAGTAGATGATTCAGGCCATCTCTAAGGGTGGTGGTATTCAGTTATGGAGAGTTTTCTGCCATCCTTAAGCTAGCTTTTGATCTCCTTATGAAGATACGGAAGTTAGAAATTGGTGAGCCTGGAGCAGAATGTGGGGAACGTGACTGTCACGGGTACAATAGAGAAGCTGTTTCTCTTTACCACTGGGCAGTGGTTCTGGGACTGAGGAAGTGCTGTGAGCCTGGGCGTCTCCAGCACAGCCACTTCTGTGTAATGCCTTTCTCATGAGGTTTCAGGATGGTGCTTCATAGAGGAAGTGAAGTCCCTCTTTCTAGAACCTACTTATTTCCCACATACCCTTGACACTGGCCTCAAGGGCTGTGCAGGTCACTGTATCTCTGTGTCCTTTTTTTATGACACACACTCCTGTGGTATCTCTTCAAGGACTGAACAACCACCCTCCCACTACTGTTCCTTCTTTTCCAGTTCATGCTGTCCTAGGGCCTCGAGCCCTTCCCAGAGTGCCCTGCTAGTCTACTTTAGCTGGTTCAGCGTTTCCCAGAGGGAAGAGGTCTGTCTGACTGATCTCCATCCTGCCCTTCACATGTGTCAGACCAGCACAATAGTCTGCAGACCCTGCAGAGTCCTCTCATGCATCTTTGGGGGGGGCGGGGGGCACTGACATGTCTACTTCTGTCTGGATACATCTCCTTCTCTCTTTTCCTTGTCAGTGGAGAACCTCTGTTTTGTCTGCTCTCCCAAGCCACCTCAGCTCAATATGCAGAGACTGGACTTTCTTACAAAGCTGGGTATCTGTCCCCCAAGAGCATCTAGTATCCTGATCTTCTGAGTCCCCGGCCTCTAGCCACACTGGATCCAGAGCTAATCTTCCCTAGTGGACACCCCAAAGGACAGTGGTGCTGACAATGCCCAGGGAAGCTGTCAAGGTATTTTTCAACCAAGCAAGACAGTTTGGGGTTATGCGAGGGGTATAGTGGAAGAATTGACTGCCACTTCCTCTGAAAGGGTCAAGGCAAGAGATGGGCATCTCACTGGGCCCTGAGAGGTACAGCATAGAGCTGGCTTCCCAGAGGATGTACCCAGAGGGCCACCTTGTTTTGGGAATAGGTGGCACAGTGAGCTACTGACTAAGTCACACGAGCCCCACCACATCTAATAGTCCAAGGTGGAAGGAACAGACACCCTGGCTCCTGGCAGTCTCATTGAGTTCATCCCCACACATCCTCTTTAGTTCCCACCGTGCTGGCTGCTCTTGCCTCCTCAGGGCCTTTGCTATCTGACTCTCAGCGTTCCCATTCACCTGGTTGCCTCTCCCAAGACAATCATTCCCCACATGGCTCTGAGCCAGGCTGTCTGACTCTGTTTACAGAAGAGTTC